GCAGAGGTTGAGTTGAAACTGATAGTGCATTCGACGAGAAGGTGATCTGAGTTGCTGAACTGTGTTTGTGCTTCTTTTTTTAAGAAGCTGTGATTTGAGTCTATAAATATGTAGTTGAGCCTTGTGGCTATTTTGTGATTATTTCTAGTATTTTGATAGAAAGTTAAGAAGTAGTTATTTGTTGAAGTTTCTGCTGTATCAGTGAAATCTATCATTAGATTCTTGACTCGCTCTCTTGAAGGGTCATTTTGTATTGGTGCTTAGCTTATTCGGTCTCTATTAGGGTTTAAATTTACATTGAAATCCTCTGTTATAAGGTTTATATAGTCTTCGTTGATCATTGGAGACCAGCTATTGAAGAAATTAATTCTGTCTTTTAGGTTTGGAGGTGCGTATATGTTGGTGACCAAGAAGGTATTATTTTTATAAGAGATTTTTACTTGGATTACTCGATTATTAAAAGAGGTTCTTGCTTCAATTATCTTGGTCTGTTTATTACTAGCTAGAATTGCTACTTTTGAAGATCAAAAAGAGTTGAAATTCCATTGCTGAGCTAAGAAATTTCTGGAATTTGTGTCATTAAGGTTTGTTTCTTGAAGTGTGATGATATCTAGATTATATGATTTTAAGAGAGTTAGAGTTTTGTACACTTTGGCCTTGTTGTTTAGGCCTTTTACATTAAGAGTTGTGATTGTAATTTTTTTCATAATTGAATGAGATTGTTTTTGGGTTGTTATTGTTGATTATGAGATAACCTAATGAGAAGAGGAACCTTGTCCAGGGGTGGTTGCCTCTGTTATTACTATATCATTCTCATGTGTTCCTTTCTTACTCTTTCTTTTTTTGTTTTTCTGTATATCTGCTGTTACAGTTTCACCTTCTGGATCAGAAAGTTTTGAATTAGAAGATGAGGTGTTTGTCTTTTGTACTAAATTTGAGTTGTTGTCCTTGATTTTTTCTGTGATATAATCTTGGTTTGAAGAGTTTCCTTTTTCGTTAGCTATCTTTGTTGGTGGAATAGAGATTTCTTCCTTGGTTGCTAGGGGTTGCAATTCTTGTCCAGTCTGAACTTGGACATAAGGGTTATCTGAGCTAGGTTCTGGCTGAGTCTCAAAGTAAGTGTAGTTTTTTTCTTTTTGTAATTTTAACTCTTTGTAGTATGTATGTAAAGCAATTACATCTTTTAATTCTTCACAATCTTTCTTTATGTAGCCTTCTTTTTCACAGTAATAGCACATTTTTGGGGCTTCTCTCCATTCAGTGCTAACATTGTGGTCACCAACATATGTAGTCCTTGGAAGCCTTTTAGAAAGGTATAGGTCTTCAGTTATCTCGAATGAGACAATCCACTGGTCTGAGCAAACTGAGGTTCCCTCAAAGAGCAGAGGTTTAACTGAAGAAATAATTCCGAAGTCTTGAAAGGTTTCTAAAAGGAGTTTATTAGTCTGGTCTTAGTTTCCTAGAGATGTGTTTCTGACCTTAATGGAGAGAAAGCTTGATAAGAACATATCCAAAAATTGTTTGCTTGAATATATTAATCCCTTCTGTTGCATAGTGCTGCTGTTGAGCTTCATTTTTGAAAACTACTTCTAGGTAGGCTCTTTTACCTCTACTAAAATGAGGTTTGGCAGCTAGAAGGTCTTCACCAAGAGAATTTGCTAAGGATAGAATGATATCATTTGTAGATATGCTGTTTAGACTTTGGATGTTAAAGACCAGGGCATTTTCATTTTTGAAGAGGATCTTGTTTTTGAGCCTCTTGTTTGTATGTGGTTTTGCCATCTCTGAGTTTGGTGAACAGGTCTGATCATCATTTAGGTTTAGGTTAGTTGAGACTGTTAGTTTCCAAGCTATCTGTAAAGTCAAGTGGCTTAGTTTTAGTTGTAGTTTCTGCGCTTGAGCTGATTGGCTTCCTCACATAACTTTTGTTTACATCATAATTCATGTATTGTTTTGTTGTTTTTTTTTTAGGAGAAGAGGTAGAGCTTTTGTTGTTTTTGCTTGAAGAGGCCTCTGCGTAGTCTATTTGCTTGTTTTTGCCTTTGTCAAGCATTTCTGCTTTGACTTTGTCTGCTCAGTTGTTGACTTTTTGCTCAGAAGTGGTAGTGTTTTTGTTGTTTGAGGAACTTAGTATGTTTTCTTTATTTTCTTCTTCTGGGAACGAAAAAAGGTCAAAAATTTTCTTGTTGTCTGAGAGCTTAGTTTTTTTGTTTTTGTTGATACCCATAGTGCTCATGAGTAGTTTTCTCTTTCTAACTTTAGGAGCTTTAGCCCTGTTAGTATCTAAGAAAAAATTTTCTGTGTGTTTTTTTGTTATCTTGTTATGTTTGGTCCCTCAGTTAGAGGGAACAGAAGAGAGTTTTTTGACAAAAATATAAGAATAAATTTTAATATAGCTTTAGTTTATATTTCGAGCAATTCTAATTGTTAGATCATCTGCATAAGCTGCTACTTTGAAAAATGAGTTTGATACTCTGATACCATTAAGGTTTGCTTGTAGAGATTGAAGCAGAGATTTTATAGCCAGGATATATAGAAGAGAAGAGAGAGGGTCATCCTGTCTGACCCCTCTCTCTACTCTAAAAGGCTTAGAGAGATGTCCTGCATCTATAATATAGGCTTGTTGTAAACTAAAGAGAGAGTTAATTATCTTGCTAAACTTAGAGTCAAAGTTTATTTTATTCAAGACAGTTTTTATAAATTAATAGCTAACTCTGTCAAAGGCCTTTTGCTGATCGAAAAAGAGTAACTAGTTTTGTTTAGTTTGATTAGGTTAGTTTCTTAGAGTAGTAAGGATGTCTAAAGCCATGTCAGTAATAGATTTGCTAGTGATAAAAGCTTATTGACAAGAAGAAATTATATCACTACAGACAGAATTTAGTTTGTTAGCAAAGATTTTCATAAAGATCTTAGCATTACTATTAACAAGTGAGATAGACCTCCAATTACTAATATTCTCTAGATCATTTGATTTTTTAGGAATAAGAGTAATTATATTTTTGCTTCATAAGAGAGGTATTTGTCCTGTAATTAGAATATTGTTGAAAAGCTTTGAGAGTAAAGGAAATAAGAGATCCTTTAGAGATTTGTAGCATTCATAGGTAAGCCTATCTGGTCTAGGAAATTTGTTGTTTAGGAGGTTATCAATAGTATTATTGATTTCCTCTTCAGTAATAGGTTTTACTAGCATATCATTCTGGTCTTGTGAGATGAGAGGAGCATTTATAAGTAACTCTTCTACTGCTTGTAAGTCAATTAGTTCAGCTTTATACAGAGATTTGTAGAAGTTTTTGATATATTCTAGAATTTCTGATTAGGAGTTTGAGGTAAAGTTATCAGAGTTTCTGACTTTAGTACTGTATGAAGAGGAATACCTAATTTTGTATCAAGAGAAAAAGAATTTAGTTGATTTTTCTTCTTCCTCAATCCATTTGGCATTTGATCTAGTTTGCTATTTTTCAGAAAGGTGTTGTAACTTCTCTTAGATTTAGTCTTTAATTTCTTCTGAAGAGGTTTGAAGGTCTGTGAGCCTAGGATCATTTGCTATTCTGTTGTTTATTTTAGATAGCCTATTTTGCAAGATTTGGATTTTCCTTTCTGAGAGCTGTTTAGGCTTAGCTGATTGAATTATTAATTATATTATGCATTTATAAAAATCTTATTTGCTAATATCTTTGCAGCTTTGAAAGTTATTTGAGATTTTCTTTCTAACTTCAGAGTTGAGTAGTTTCTTTCAGTTGAGTCTTCAAATTGCAGCTTGAGTTGATGTGAATTGTATATTCTACAAAGAGATAGTCTGAGTTGCCAAAACATGTTAGAGTTTTTCTTTCTAAGTAGCTGAAGTTAGCATCAATAAAGATATAGTCTAATCGAGTTGCTATTCATTACATCAGCAAGCTGATTTTTTATAAAATCTACATAGATCTATAAGTTTATATAAATGTTTTTTTTTTTTTGTTATTAAGGTGGCTTACATTGCCGAAGGAATTTTATTAGAATTGCATACGGGATATACATTGATAGTCCCTACTGTTTGTAATTACA